AAAGCTCATGCCACAAAGGCAGGTTCTGGATGTCAGCCACCCACGGTCAGCCCTCTGTCCTCAGAGAGCCTGAGCCCAGTGGGTGAAACTCCAGTGGCGCCTCCACACAGATGCCCTATCTCTGACCAGGCAGAAGACCTAGAAGACTCTGGCCGCTTTTCCATTGGTGGTCAGGATATTGGAGAAGCTGACTGGGATGACAGGACAAGACTGGGCAGGGAGGATGAGCACAGTGATGGGCATGGAAGGGCTGACCAGAGGTTTGATGAAAGAGGTGCACCACTCCGTGGAGGAGTGGCAGCAGCTTCTAGCACAGAGAACCCAGAGGCTTCTGTTCCAGTACACCCTTCCTCTGGTACCAAGAACTTGGAGCCACCTCATGCCATTAAAGAGAATTTGGGAATGGCTGAGCTTCAGGGCTTCATTCCTTCTTTACCCTCAGACCTCAGCTCTGTGGCTTCAACGTTTGGCCCACAGCAAGAGGGTGCTAGTGGAACAGCCTCTATGGCCTCTGACGACTGTCCTGGCACCAACCTGAACAAACTGCTGGACTCTGTAGAGGAGCCAGCCAACCAAGCCGCTTCTGTACGGGTGCAGGATGCAACAACAGGGGAAACTGCTGTTGTAAGTGCTGATCCAGGGGAGGGCAACACTTCCCATGAACTCCTTACTTCTGAGGAAGGCTTTCATGAAGACCTTAGTGGCTCCTCTTCTTTTTCTGTAATATACACAAGCTGTCTTCCTCTAGAGGAGAGTCTTCCCGAGGACAGGAGGACTGTGGCTGTCATTGCAGGGCCTCTGGAACCACCCCAGACACCAAGCAGGACTTCCACTCCCCTGAACCACCCAGAGACAGTTCAGCAGAACCCTACAGAAAAAAATGCTGTTATTGAAGGAAAAGAAATGGGGGCAAATGTGGATCGTGAAGCACAACAAATGCCTTTAATTGATGAGACTGACTGCAGTTTAAAGAAAAAAGAGCCTGGATCCAGAATCTCCAGTGTCCTGAGCACCCTAACTTGGCCCTCTGAAGAAGATGTGGTCCTTGTCATGAGCAAGCAAGAGCAACCTCTGTCCCCTGTGTCCCACTCAAGCCTACCTCTGGTGTCTGAGCCTGATGTCAAACAGCTTCCTTGCCCTCCTTCCCACGCCCAAAGCCCCAGTCACGCTCAGACCCCTGCACTTAATGCAAATCACCTTGCTCAACCTCTGACCCTGGAAGGTTACCAGCCGCTGGCTCCGGTAACCTACTCCAGGCCACACGTCAACTGTGGTATGGACAGTAAGTTACTAGCCATTCACCCTACTACAAGCCATCCTCTCCGGACTGCCACCTCGGTGTCTGATTCTAACACTGTGGCCTCTGCTTCTGATGGAGAAGATACAGCAGAGAAGGGTGACCTTGTTCCAGTAAGTAGAGGGTGGGATCTCAGTGACTCGGGTACCCATGATACAGAGACTTCTGATGACTCGGGGGTCAGTTTGTTGGCCAAAAGCTTTTCTGCTCTTGGCAATGAGGCACTGGTTGGCTGCTTTGACACCAGCCCTGAAAAAGCAGATGAGCACATGGATATACAGTATGGAAAGTCCTCACCTGACCACCCTTCTTGGCCTTCTCTGGAAGGCCTGATAACATCCACAGACTCCAGGAGCAGAGATTCTGCACAGCCACTTCCAATGCTAGCATTCACCAATCCAATCCACTTCCTGCAGCTCAGCCCTCCATCACCACCGACCACCAGAAGAACCAGCCGAGAAGAGGAGCTCTCGGGGGAACTGCAGTGGGAGCAACAGGCAGGCATCTTTGATGTGGACAAGAAGAACATCCAAGCTCCGTGGGCAATCACAGAGAAAACAGAAGATGAGAGGAGGGTCAAACAAAGGCTGGAAGGAGGAGAACACCGCTTGGTAGCTCAACCAAAGGAGGAAGTGCCCAGACATTTACCCTTGGAAAAATCATCAAGTTGGCCAGACAAAAAAACGATCAGGGTGGTTGCACAGGTGCTGCCAGCCAATCAAGAAAACCCAATTAAACGCCGAGTAAAAAGCAAGGACTGGCACCGGCAGGGCCTGAAGAGGACATCAGTGCCACCAGACATCTTGCAGGGTGAGTCATCTCCTTCATTCTCCATTCAGTTTATTGCACATACCGAAAACGTAGGATTAAGTTAAACGCGCAGTGTGATAGAGCTGAGAGCTGAGAGCACTGGGGCATTGCTCTTGTGCCTTTCTGGTAATACTCCTCACTCCAGCCCTGTAGTCCCATTGCTGTCCTGCTCCCAGCTCTCCCCTAGCTTCTCTCTGCGGCCCTGTAACCAGTGTGTCCTGCTTGTTCTCCGAGTAGGGCTGCACTCTGGGGCTCAGCCCCCTCAGTTCTCACTAACACCCGCAGCAGAGAGCTTACTGCACTTCACGGATCCCTCAGCCCTCGACTACACATCCAGTGTCTCTTCGTGTCCTTTCTCCACGTTTAATGGCCTGTGGATCTTACTTGATATCATGGGCTATTTTGGCCTACCTGCAGGAATGAGTTTCTCGGTGGGGCTGAGTTCACCGCTTCTGCTCATCATCTCTGCTGCCATCACACGGCCGTTGCATTTTGCTGCCCTTGAAGCAGCTCGTTTCCAAGCAGTAAGGAAAACGCACACGCCCCCCCTCAATAGCCCATATCTGTTACGGCTTGGTTTAGTTCCTTTTTTATTTGCTACCTCCCTTTATTTGGCAGCTGACACCTTAAGGTTCCGATCTGACCTTCTGGAAGAGATGATCTTCCTGAGAACGTAGGATTTGAGATTACAGATAAAAATGCAGATTTGTCAAGTCCAAGGTCCCAGCTTGCATAGAAGCCAAGTCACTGATGTCGTGAATTGCAAAAAAACATGCATCGTCTGTAATGCAGTTCGTGCAGACAGTACTTGCTGTCAAGATGCATGTCTGTTCTCTTATATCTTGCATGACCTTAAAATGTACTTGCTGCTCCTCAGCTCTTACTTAGTTTATTTTCCAAACTCCAGAGCATGCTGGATTTTTGGCACAGAGGAAGGGAGTGTTGAGGGATGTAAATGACTTGGCAGCACTTGAATCGAGATTTGCTCATGTATTTGACCTGTAAATTCTTGGTTCCAAACTTTAAAACATTCAGGGTAACAGTATTGTCTTTCCCCTGACCTGTACTTGCAGCTCAGTCTTTAGGCTCGCTTCATCCTCCTGCTTCCAATTACCTTTATATATGCACCTTACATATGCATAGCTTATATATACACCCTATTTAATTAAACCCCTTGCAAAACAGAAGAAAAATGCACAATTTGTGCATTTCACATAAACAGGAGCTGACTCAAACAGCAGTTTGTGAATGCTCACATAATATATGAGTGTGAGAACTGGATTACACCATTGATTCTTGGGCTGCATCCCTTCTGGGAGAGCGATGCTGGACATACAACAAAGTCACTCCTGTGGAGTCTCAGAAGTCAGAGTTTTGGGGCTCAGCAGACATGACTGGTGGCTGAAAGGGGAAAGGCAGCACCAAGTAGAGCCCACAGGCAGTGTCTTCACTTGGGCAATTGGAGTTGGAAGCTTTAGCGTTATGGTCACCTCTGAAAGCGTCTGCCTTATTCTTGGTATGAAAAGCAAATGTGACTCAAGTAACAGATGTAAACTGTAGGTAATGTCAGGGATTATTAAAGCCACAAAGTTTCTGATGCAGAAATAAAGGTCAGGAGGGCACCTGTATTCCAACCCAAGACCACATCACTTAGGTGGAGTATAGGTAGGTGGTGTTCATGTATCTTTAGGATTGTAGCTCAACTCGAAAGTCTGACTTACGTGTTTACTTTTTGATTGTCTTACATGCAGAAATCCCTTCTGTTCCGTCAGAGGAAGAAGCTCACAAGGCACACAGGGAACCACCAGTCAGTTCAGACACAGTTATATTGCGGTAAGTCTCTCAAGGCCCCTTAGGATTTGCCCCTATCCCTGCGTAGCACAGACACCTGATGCTCTCCATTGTTCCTAAAGGGACCAAAGATGGAGTAGATAGGGAGTGGAGAACTATAATGGAAACTGTAGTAAAATTACTGAGGCCCGTGCTTCAGTCCATGCCCTCTTTGTTCTTTGACAAGTAAAACATGTAGTTTGAGCTTGTTGGAAAGAGAGGTCCTGGCTGTGCCAGATCTGTTACTAAGATTTGGATAAGCTGTCTCTGGCACTGTGCTCTTCATTCATTCGTCGTTTCCAAATCCTTATTCCCTGACAGAGAGAAGAAACCTGCAGATGCAATGGAGAACTTCAAACGCCGGCACTCCAAACTGATCAACTCCTGTAAGTACCTTCTGCCTGAGGTGGTGTGGCAGATCCCTGTCCTCTATCCTCTCTCACCCTTGCAGTGACCAGAGAGGAGGGGGCTGCTGCCACAGAGTAACAAGGAGGGGGCGTTTGAGAGCGCAGTTCAGTGGAGGCAGTGGAACCAGAGTCCTGCAGCAGACTCGGGCAGCTGGAGAGCTTCGCTTGTAGCATCTAATGCATGTGGTCTAACGTATTCAGTTATCCTGATCGGAGACAGCAACAGAGATTTCTCCTGATTGAAGCAGAGGGTGAGTAGCTGCTGTAGAAAGTATAAATATGTACGCCTCTCTTCACAGCAAGATTGCTCTACCAGGAGTACAGTGATGTGGTTCTGAACAAGGCTATACAAAGCCAGAAGAGAGTGGATTCTTTTGCAGAGGATATAGAGTCGAGCTTCCCAAGCTCCCCAAGGCTGCGGAGGAAAGTGCTGTCTCCCCAGGACTCGTATTTGCAACGGCTGTCAGTCTCATCCAATGCGTCCCTCTGGCAGGACATCCCCATGATACGGGGCAGCAGAATGCTACTCAATATGTCCCGTGATGAGCAGAAGCTGCAAGAGGTAAGGGACAGATACAGCAGGGTAGATGGGTGGTCTGTAGTCAGGAAAGTCCCCAGAAGGGTGGTTAAAGTGGAAAGCAAAAATGTCTGATGTGGGATTGCAGGTGGTTGAATGCAGAGGTCACCTCTACTCATGTAAGCAGTATGGGCTTGTGGTTCCAGTGCTTGTGAAGTAGTACAGTGCTGAAGTTCAGAACTGTAGAGAAAATGGGCACTGAAGGGTGGACTCTGGACCATATCACTAACTTCCTGAAATCAGACATGCGGAAATGGGAGCGAGATAAGGCAAGGAATTTTGAGCATGTTCAGTGCAAAAGAGGGTATTCAAGTAGAAGATTTCAGCCTTCTGCCACACCTGAGCTTATATGAGAGATGCTAATAAGACCACGGTGTATTGTAGTTCCTGGGACAGAGTGTGAGCTTACCAAATTGACCTGTGTGAGCTGCAGGGCTGAGAGGAAACGGGAAAACGTGTGGGTTCAGCAAAATGGTACATAAAGAAACTGGGTAAAGAAAATGAGAGGAACTGAGCAGTGAATGGGAGGACCCAGAGAAAGAGGCAAAAACAATGGCATGGGGAACAGGAAGGAGAAAAACACGGGTGATGCAGGTGCTGGAAAGTTTTCAGGAGCATGCAAAACAGGGAACCTAGTGAAGGTGGAGTTGAGGAGGAATAGAAAGCAAAATGAGAGCAGGTAGCTATTTTTATTGAAGTCATATCACAAGTCTGTATTCTACAGAAAGACAGACTATATATAATGCCACACCTGCCTAGTCTACTGACGCTGCGCTCCCTTTTTCCATCTCTCAAGGCCAAGTTTGAGTTGATAATGTCTGAGGCTTCGTACCTGCGCAGTTTAAATGTGGCCGTGGATCACTTCCAGCGATCAGCAGAGCTCCAGTCAATGCTCACCAATCAAGAGCGTCAGTGGCTTTTCTCCCGCCTTCATGATGTACGCGATGTCAGCGCCAGGTGAGATACGACCCTTTAGTACCCGGAGGAGCACCCACTGCGAAACACAGACACAGCCCATCCTTTCCATCAATAAGATACCTCACTCCTGCTCTGCATGTTCACCGACTTCCAAGGCAGTTGCACACATGCAGAGCGCTTCCCAACTGCGTACCAACGCTGCCCTGGAAGGAACTTCGTCCTGTTGGGCGACAGGACAATGTAAATCTTGGTGTTAAGTCACAGATATTATGGCGCAATTGTGCGCAGAGCTCATTGCAGGAGATGAAAACGTTCGAAAAGTTCTTCCCGGAGAGGGTGGGGAGGCACTGGGACAGGTTGCCCAGGGAAGCTGTGGATGCCCCATCCCTGGCAGTGTCCAAGGCCAGGCTGGATGAGGCTTGGAGCAACCTGGTCTAGTGGAAGGTGTCCCTGCCCATGGCAGGGGGGTTGGAACTGGATGATCTTTAAGGTCCCTTCCAACCCAAACCATTCTATGAAAATGCTGCTGTAGCCATGCCTTGTTGGCTTCAACTACAACAAAACTTGACCGACGGGACCTCAGCCCAAACCAAATGCAGCTCCTGCATAATACAAGACAAAAGAAGCAGCTGCACAATCCCTGGGGGGGAAAAAAAAAAGTTACAGCCATCACTAGACAGAACCTAATGTGAATCAACTGAGCATAAGTCTTAAAATGTAGACATGACCCCACATGCAAGGAATCCTGTATGTTGTAGGATTCTGATCTGCTTTTTTCCTGCAAGTCTTCGCTACATACATCACTAAGCTAATAAGGTTTGCTGCTACCTTTTCCATTTCTGCTAGTGGGATTATTCTGATTATGTCTTAATTTCCAGTTGTTTTTTGGCTGTGTCTTTAGAAGTATGCCCTCTCAAGAACGGAGTTCTTTTGCCTCTGCTTCTTCCTTGCTGATACCTAGCCCTAAATTGTCACTGTACAGGCATTATGCTCTCCTTAGAAGTAAAGAGCTGTCTTGTGCTTATATGTGTGTTGTCAGGATTTTAGAGGACTGAGGGTGTTCCTGCTTTACTAAATGACACTGCTATTTCCCTCTTCTTTTATGGCACCGCAACCGTGTGCTGCAGTTTCCTCTTTGACTTGGAGGAGAAATTTGAGGAGGACATCTTCACCTTCCACGTGTGCGATGTGGCTCTAAAACACGCCCCCGAGTTCCGCAGGGTTTATCTACCCTATGTAACAAACCAGACATATCAGGAGCAAACCTTCCAGCGGTTACTGTAAGTCTTTTCATTTGTTGCACCCTTCTTCCCCTTTACTTTCTTGCTGCACCTCAAATGTTCACGCTTTCAAATGATGGGAAATGCAGCAGGTGCAGGCTTTTGGCCAGCCCTCACACTGCACCCCCAGAAGAACAGGCCAGAATCTTCTTCAGTTCAATTCAATGGCATTTGGGACAGCAGGACAGAGCTACTGCAGGCTCCTTTCCCATAACATTGCAAAGGCAAAGAATAAATAATATCAGATTCTCTTGGGGGCTGTTCTACTGAAGAGAGCAAAAATGACTGTCCTGGGTGGTGGGTTTAGTCTGTGATTTTTGGACTCTTAAGAACCAGACAGTGATGATTTCAAGTGAAACTTCCAAACACAACCATTCTGTGATTCCGTAATTAAGAGAAATACGGCTGCTTGAACTGGCTATTCAGAAGTCTTTAAAATGGATTTAAAATCCTGGCGCCAGATAACACCGTCACTCTCTCTTGCTCTGGATGGTGATGAGCAACATCTCTTGCCTTCCTTTTCTGTACGTGGTGGCACAACTAAGCATTGCTTAGGAACAGGCCCAGTCCTGAGCAAGGATTCCTTGCTACTTCTGCACTGCTTCCCTTCATAACAACCCAGTTCCAGTGAAGCTACACTGATTCCAGAAGACACTTTTCCCAACAGGCTGTCGGGCGCTGTCTGTGGGTACTGCTGACTGTGAGAGGTCTAGTCTTGCAATTGATTCCCTTCAGGGAAGGCTCAATTCCAAACAGAAAGGACTTCCAGGATGTTGTTTAGGGCAACATCTACTGGGCCTACAACCTTCTTCCCCTTCTCTTCAAGGATATGGGATTGGCTATTCTGCTGGATGGTGCTACTCCCATACCATTAGCCTTTTATTTTCTACTGCCCAATATGGATGGCAGTGGCTGTGTCTTAAGAGGGTAAGAGAGACATTCGGGGGAAGGCAGCTCCCTTAGGAGTAGCAAGAGAAGGGAGGCAGCTGTTTTCAGATCCTGAACACAGCCCCGGGAGCTGGACCGTTCAGTACAAAGAAGGAATACAAACCACCACTGTCTCTGTGAAAGGTGCCCTACTGACTGGGGGGAATCAGAATGTAGCTGTTACTTCTGGCTTTCATTCCAGAGGGCTCTGGTGGAAAGAGGAAGTACATAGTAACAGGTGTACTGACATGCTATAGCTTGTAAGAAACCCATACTTGCTCTTCTTCAGCAGAGCAGCGCAGTTTCTTGACATCTCTTGCCCCAGGGACAAAACCTGACTGTTGGAATGGGAATACTTCAACATGCACTGGAATCTGATACTAGAAAGGCTGTTTGTTTGCTCTGATGCCTGGATGTCTTCTTTCTTTATCATTCCTACAGAAATGGAAACGCAGGGTTCCAGCAAGTCCTAGAGAGACTGGAAAGTGATCCAGTATGCCAACGCCTGTCACTTAAATCCTTCCTCATCCTCCCTTTCCAGCGCATCACTCGGCTCAAACTCCTCCTGCAGGTAACTTCATTCTCTGCTTTCCTACCGTTTCTCTCAAGCTGACCCTTCTTCAGGTCTGAAAGTCATGGAAATATGTGCTAGCTGCAGGCACTGGGTGAAAGGACTTTGTGTTGCATCTGTAATAAGTTTGGCTCTAAAGCTACTCGGTTGCGTATGCTGGGAATATGCCTTTGCGTCAACAAACCCGTTTGTCATTGTGCAGAAGTCTGCTGGGCGCTACACCAGCGCCATGAGTTGGGTACGGTGGCCTCCGGGAGGCGATGCGCTGCGTATAGCACGCAGGGCTTCGTAGCAGCACTGCTTTAGTTGAACCTCAATAGGCAATTTATGGAGTCTTCTCAGAACGCGTTGATTTATGTTTTATTGACGTTTTTTGACTTCCTGCTAGGAAAACAAAGCAAGGGTTCCTTGGCTGCCCGCTGGAAGGCAGCCTGTCTCTGCGCCTTGCCTGCAACATTGACTAACAGGAGACTTCAGACAGGGAGCCAGCAAGTTGCTAATGAATGATTTTTGAGCTCTTTCTATAAAATTCTTCTTTTTCATTATTTGAGCCTTTTTTTAGACATGAGGAATAGCAGGCAGAGATCAGTTCTGTGTGCAAGGCTGTGCTTGGATCAGTGGTTGCTTCCTGTGCCATCTAACTTGTACGTGATAGTTAATACGATTTAGGTTTGCTGTGGTGCCCTGTTCAGTGACAGCTTCTCAGTGACATTCTGCATCTCAAGTTCCTAGCTTTGTTATTTCCACATCTCATCACCTACCAACTGCTTTCGTTTCCCTTGAGGCAGGTAGCTCGGTGTCTCCTTGCTTCTCCTACCCCTCCCAGATCCGTAAGTCCAGCTTTCCCTGTCTGCATGTTGAAAAACACCTTCTCTCCTGCAGAATATCCTGAAGAGAACTCGACCGGGGTCTGAGGAGGAAGTACAAGCAACACAGGCCTATGATGCGCTTGAAAAGGTAAGGCTGTCGGCCTGTCGTGCAGCCCTGCTGAAAGGGATCTGGGGGTGTCGGCTCGATACAAGTCCACAAAAGGGCCACTGGTGTCCTGGGGTGCGTTCAGCACAGCATGGCTAACCCGTCAAAAGAAGCGATGGTCCCACTGCACTCGGCATTGGTGTGGCCTCACCTCCAGTACCATCTGCCTTTTGGGGCTCCACAGTATAAGGATATAAAAGTATTAGAATGTGTCTGAAGGAGAGTGACAGAGGTGGTGAGAGGACGTGGTTTATGAGGAGGGGCTGAGGATACTAGGTCTGCTCAGCTTAAAGAAGAAGAGGCTGAGGGGTGACCTCATTGCTGTCTACACCTTCCTCATGAAGGGGAGCAGAGGGAGGTGCTGATCTCTCCTCTCTGGATGTAAGGGAATGGCTTAAAGCTGCATCAGGGGAAGTTCAGATCGGATATTAGGAGAACATTCTTCACCGGGAGGGTGGTCAAGCACTGGAACAAGCTCCCCAGGGCAGGCCACAAGCCTGATGGTGTTCAAGAAGTGTTTGGCAACACTCTTGGATGAGTGGTTTAACTTCAGGTTTGCCCTGCGTGGAGTCAAGAGTTGGACTCGGTGTTCCTCGTGGGTCCCTTCCAACTCAGAATATTCTGTGATTCTCCACAGCCATGTTGCATCACACAGCTGCAGGGCACCCAAGTGTCCCCGTCCTTTTGTTGATCCTGGCCCTTGACAAGGGTGCTTGTCACTGATCCTCACCAGGAACGAGTGAGCGTGTTCATGTGGCTCTCCTGCACGTGCAGTGGGAGCTGTGAGCAGAAAACACTAAAGCGGGAGCCAGCTGGGATGTGACGGAACCTGGCTTGTGGTTTACCCCAAACAACCTTTGCAGCCACTCGCGCCCCTCCCCCTCCCTCAGTGGGGTGGGGAAGAGAATCAGAGGAAAAGGCAAGAAAACTCATGGGTTAAGATAAGAACGATCCAATAATGGAAAATAAATGAAATAAAATAATGAAATTACTAATACCAATATTAGTAGTTAATAATGTTTAATGAAAATAATGGGAAAGAAAACAAATGATACAACTGCTCACCACCTCCTGACCAATGCCCAGCCAGTCCTTGAGTAATGAGAGCCTGAGAGCCAGAACCCCAGAGCCAGACTGAGGCCAAGAGTGCAACCTCCGTCCCACCCCCAGTTTGTATACTGATCATGAAGTTTTATCATAGAATCACGGAATGGTTTGGGTTGGAAGGGACCTTAAAGATCATCCAGTTCCAACCCCCCTGCCATGGGCAGGGACACCTTCCACTAGACCAGGTTGCTCCACGCCTCATCCAGCCTGGCCTTGGACACTTCCAGGGATGGGGCATCCACAGCTTCTCTGGGCAACCAGTCCCAGTGCCTCCCCACCCTCTCTGGGAAGAATTTCTTCCTGATATCCAATCTAAACCTCCCCACTTTCAATTTAAACCCGTTACCCCTTGTCCTGTCACTGCAGGCCCTTGTAAAAAGTCCCTCCCAGCTTCCTTGTAGCCCCTTCAGGCACTGAAAAGTGCTATAAGGTCTCCCCGGAGCCTCCTCTTCTCCAGGCCGAACACCCCCAATTCTCTCAGCCATTCATCATAGCAGAGGGGCTCCAGTGGAATCAAATACCCCTTTTGGGTCAGTTTGGGTCCACTGTCCTGACTGTGTCTGCTCCCAGTTTCTTGTAGCCAAGAAGCTGGGAACACAGGTGCAGTATCAGGAACTGAAAAAGTCCTTGAGCTGATATAAACGTTCCTTAGCAACAACTGAAAACATCAGTGTTATCAATATTCTTCTCAGCACAAGCAGAACAGCCTCATACAAACTACTGCGAGGAAAATGAACTCTGTCCCACAACCTGCACCCAGGATAAAGAACTACTTTTTTTCAGGAATTGCTCTTCCCAGTCTGCAAACCTCCATTCCCCCTTTGTGTTCCTTACCTTTGTCTCCTAATGAGTGATCAATTCCTACCTCAGCCCCCACAATACTGCTAAAAAAACTTTTAAAAGCATGGCAAGACAGTACTCTCTTGCATTCCTTCCTCTCTCCTGTTTATTACAGAAACAGGATTTAAAGTCTTCTGGGACACCTCGTTATCAGCAATTAGTACAGCAGCATAAGCCAGACTTGTTCTTAGCTAGCTCCTGTTCTGTCTAGTGATCATTTCATCTTCTTGGAGTGTCACTCCCTTTCTTACAACCCTTCCCCTGTCCTCCACCTGAAGACCTGTTCAACACGATGCGTACATCCTTAAAACCCTTGGGACTGCTCCCGCGGGCTGCACAGCTCCCAGCATGCTGCGGTAGGAGGTGGGTGGGCGGGCAGGGTGTCCTACACTGAAATCCTTACGCTCCAGCTGTGTACCAGCCAGCAGCATCTCTGACACTGTAATGCAGCTGCCCTCTATCACATCGGGCAGCTACGTCGGCAGCTTACAGGCTGGAGTACTTCTGTTTCATTATGTCCTGTCCTCACAGTTAACTAGCAACAAGCTCTGGGTCATGGAAAATAGGGGCTGATGTTTATCTAATCAGCATCACCTAAGAACTGCTTCCAAATGACCAGCAATTCAACCTCTGCCACCTGAAAAGAGGGAGATGTTTCTAGTATCCCTCCCAGTAACCCTAAGTTAAAACAGTTCTTGTCACAGAGACTTCACCTAAAGAATACCTTCCTTAAGAAAGTAGGGATGATCACTGTAGATATGGTGAAGCTTCAGTATGCTTGCCTGGAAAAATACTTTTCCTTTGCAGGAGGATGCCCAAGGAATTGTAACTGATATTGGCTCTTTGGTGGCTCCTGGGAGTAATGCTGGTTCCCACCAGGCAGTTCTGCTCCCATCTCACTCATCGTCTGTTTTCCCCTGCAGCTCATCAAGGATTGCAATGAAAATGTCCAGCGCATGAAGAGCACGGAAGAGCTGATCTACCTGAGCCAGAAGATTGAGTTTGAGTGCAAGGTGAGCTCATCCATTCCCTAGGCTTTGCTCTAGCCTCAGTGCCTTTTTTCTCTTCCCTCATGAAGTCACTTGTGCTTACTTTTTGTTCTCCTTTCCAGTATACATAGAACTGTTGAACCAGAGTAACATACACAGGTCAGCTCATCAGTGCTTCCCTTGCCCTTCAACTGAAGATGCCTACCATGACATACTCCAGCCCAGCTGGAGAGATGAAAGCATGCTTCCTCTAGGGAAAGGCAAAAAAATGCAAGTCCAAAACTCATGGATACAGATTTCCTTGTACACGCTTGACATAAAGGTTCACTTCTGTCTTGCAGATATTCCCACTCATCTCACAGTCGAGGCGGCTTGTGAAGTGTGGTGAGTTGACAGCACTGGACTTCAACACCTTGAGTCCAAAATGGAAAGTCACCACCCGCCCCATCTACCTACATCTTTTCAATGACTGTCTGCTCCTGTCTCGGCCGAAGGAGTGAGTGCTTCAACACAATTCTTGCTGCCCCTTCTAAAATACCTGTCTCTTTCTGGGGTCTGTGCTTTGGTGAAAGAGTCTTTTCCCTCTGCCTGCCAGCAAGTGGCAGCATTTGCCAAGTCACTCTCCTAACCCTACATTATGTGAGTATCATGCAAGTATGTGGAATCTGATATTCCCAACTCTTTTATTACAACATGTGATAGTACAACAAGATATCTTCTGGTCCCTAGTGCAAGACTTCTGCCTCTCCACCTCTGTGATGTGAAACGCTTTAATATTAACCCTTTGTTATAGCATTGCTTGGTAAATCATTTCTTCCCAAAGGACGGTATGAAGATCAGTGAATGTGCAAATCACTGGTTTGTCAAGAAAGTAAGAGGGTTGTTGGTTGGTGGTTGTGTTGGGGCTCAGGGTGGGGGATGTGGTTTTGGTTTTAAGCTGTAAGCTGTCAAATAAAACTCTGACAGGACAGAGCCTAGTATTTCTACCCTTTTCATTAGGTCCCTTCTCTCTCCTCTGGCCTCCTGAGGCTTCTAGAAAGAAATAAGTTTAAGGTGTCTGGAGAAGATGAAGGCTCATTAAAAGCATTTTGCTTTCCTGACATCAGCAAAGAACTTGGACTCCCTTTGCGTAACCCTCATCACCCTAAAACTCACAACTTGTTTTGTTCCTCCTCTTTGCTTGCAGGGGCGGACGTTTTGTTGTGTTTGATCATGCCGCTTTCTCGGATGTGCGTGGGGAGAAGTGCGAGATGAAACTGCATGGAACAAACAAAAATGTCTTCCGTCTCTTTCTGCTTCAGAATTACCAGGGAAATAGAGTGGAGTTTTTGTTTCGTACAGAGACACAGTAAGAGCTCAAGGTTACCCTCGGCATATCCCGTTATTGTAGCCAGATACCTCCTAGGAGCCTGATGGTTGTCCCTCAGCTACCCAAATGCTAAAATATCAAATGCAGCTGCTGAGCAGAGGACTTGATCAACATCCTCTTGCCATAACAAACTCCTAATGAACCACCTTGCTCCTTCCTCCCTCATCATAGCTGCTTATACAATACTACCACCTTATGTCATACCATCAGCCTCCAAAAACTGGAGTTTCTGCTTTTTCCCATCCCCTGTCTCCACCTCTGCCTTCTCTGCTTCTCCTAAGTACCCCGTCCCTGACCCCTCCCGTGAGCAAACCTGTACAGCCTCCCGCCATTCCCTTTGCCAGACTGCTATCCCTCAGGTTGAATCCTGACACCTATCTGGTGATGTTTCCCAGCAGTGAGAAGCTGAGGTGGATCTCTGCTTTGGCTCCTCCGCGAGGAGAACTGGACCTCCTGGAATGCCCTGGTGAGACTGCTCTGCTACTACAGCAGTGGGAGTGGGCTGGCTCAGAGGAGTTGGAGTCGCTGGGAGATGGAACATGCCAGAATGATTCCAAGGCAGAATACTTGCTTTTTGTAAATAGAGAAGATATTCATGGGCTTTCCCTCAGTGCCAGGTTCTGCCTGTTATTTTACTTACTTTTACTCTTCATATTAATTAGGTGTGTGACCTGCAGTCTCCCTTCCAGTTCTCTGCTCTTTAGTGTTTGGGAAGTCCCTCATCCCCTACCTTCCCTGGGGCTGGTGCACACAGGTTTACTGTTGCTCTCTAGTACACTCTTCTGATTTTTCTCCCCCTTTAGATGCTCCACAGGTTCAGTGCATAAAGACTTACAAGGCTCGGGAAAATGACGAGCTGGCTCTGGAGAAAGCAGATATCATCATGGTGATGCAGTACAGCAATGACGGTGAGCAGGAAGAACAGTGGCTGTCGGAAATTACGGGTGGGAAGTTACTTTAGCAGTGTAAAGCTCTAACAACACAACCAGGCTTCAGGAGCCTCTCATTCCTGACTGTTGGATTGAGAGGATGAAGATGCTTCATTAAGACACTTGGAAGCTGAAAGGGGAATTTTTCTTTCCCTTAGGGCCTTGGTGGAGGGGGCTTTTTTGGGAAGAAGAATGGAAAAAAAGTGAGTACTTTGCCTCATGTTGTGCTTTTCCCCACACCTGCAGGATGGATGGAAGGAGTGAAACTTTCAGACCGGGAGAGAGGTTGGTTCCCCTCAGAACACGTGGAACTCATCTCCTGCAAAGAGGTGTGGCAGAAGAACCTGAAGGAGGAGCAGCGTGTGAAGAATGCCAAGCAACAGGTCTTCTGCAAGAAGTAAGACTCTGCTTCGCTTGGACCTGTGGACAGTCGCCCTGCCATGGGGAAGGCATCTTTTTTTTCTATCGTGCCTCAGAAGAAACACCTCTGTGAAGAGCATAATACAGCACTTCGACAGAACCAGGTGCTTTTTGCCAAAGAAAGCGGGAATTCAATCAGGAAAAATCATTCTCTTCCTCTGTGTCACCTGGACTACGGCAGGAGTAGGAGGAAAAAAAAAAGTTGCATGTATTGCTTGCTTTGTGGTAGCAGGGAGGGACTTTAACCGGACGGAGGTCTGGGATGTGGACTTCTGAAAATACATTCCTGGTTTTGCCACTCACAAGTTGCAGGACCTTGGGCAAGTCACTTCAGAATTCTGCCTCAGTTTTCCCATCTGTGAAATGGGGGTAAACTTACCTACCTCACTGGATGTTGTGAGGCTAAATTCACTAGTATTCACACAGGGAGAGCTTTGAGTTCCTGAGAAGGAAGGTGCTAAGTGCAAAGCACAGCATAGTCGAGGAGAGTTTTCCATTTGAATATCCTCTTGATGGTATTGATCTCCATAATGTAATTTCCATTTAGAACAATTCATCTATTTGATTGTGCAAGTCTACTGTTTGTTAGATAGGCAGATACTTCGTTGTACCTGTCCGTAGCTCAGTCACAGCCTGTTGTTGAGACCTTGACAGCGTTAGAAAATCCATGTGAGTTAAGCCATGTTTTCAGAAGCCGCTGTAATGATTTCCCCCACCTTAAGAGGTATCAAGCTGAAGAATCTGCTTCACGACGGTCACCTCTCTTCTGAACAAGTGTCCCAGTAAGCCATCTGGAATGACCCTTTTTTTACTCTGCCTCCTACTTTTGACAAAGTCTTCTATTACGCGTTGGTACGTGCCCTGTACAGAACAATGGTGACCAGGCATCTGCAGTGAAGTGGCACTTTCCTGCTGCTCTTAAGCCCGTAGCTGATGTGGTATTGCATGCACCATTTTGCACACTTAGAGAAAAACACTGAGATATTTAGCCACTGTAGATAAAGTCAAAATATGTACCAGGGACTTTGTTCTTCGTTAGAACTCTCTGGTTTTAAGTCCAGTTTACATGCAGTCCTGCTTTCGTGCAGAACCTGTCTATTCGAGGACATGCCTTCAGCTGTAAAATACTGTTTCTGTGTTAAAAGTGTTTGCGTTCAGGCAATGCAAGATCAAGTACAAGAATCAATACACCAAAGAAAGCAACGTGTAGCCTTCTTGCATTTAATATATTTGAAGAATTAGTTATCTTCATATCTCCAGCTTTCTGTCTCTGTAACGTTCTGCCTTTAATTCCCATTTACACTGTATCTAGTATAGTTTATTACAGCCTATTTATATCAATAATTTTAGCTGGATTTAAAAAAAAAAAATGCTTTTAGTCCTAATAAACTCATGCACTTCTCCAGTTAAAATAAACCACTTTTCTGCTTTCCTTGTTATTTAGGGCTTTCATCTCAAGTATAAGTAATTCAGTATTGACCGAACATATGCTCAGTATTTTCATTATTTTTCCATCTAACTCTCCTCTCCAAGTGAACGTTAAGTACAAGTAGCTATACTCAGCAGTGAAGAAAGCTTGCGTTACCAGCCCCACCCTGACCTTCTCCAGTGTTACACCAGCCCGGAGGCGACTGCTGCTGCAGGTTCCCCAGTGGTGTCCGTCGCTGGTATGTCAAGGGCAGCTAAAGGCGGGACCTACAGAAGATGGGACTCCAGTCCTCTCTGCCAGTCCGACAGGATGCAATTATTCAACTGTCTGTTAAGCTACGCGTCAGACCACAGTCCGCCTGCACTTTTTCCCCCTGGAAGAACTGAAGCTGGTCCCTAGCTAAGAACAAAAGCAAAGCCCTACCTCAAACCGAGTGACATAAGGAAAGTTACGGTCCTCCGCAAGACCCGTGAACGTTCAGAGATCCAGAATACCTGCTTGTCCCAGGCTGTCGTGAATTTATGCAGTAGATAAGCCATCAGCATCGCCAGCGTCCCAACCAGGCTACAGAACGCTGCCGTGGGACCAATTCAGTACGTCCCGTGTAAGGTCACCTTGCGCAGGCAGTCGGAGGCATGCCGTATCCATGCAGCTTCATCGTGGATACTCGTATCCTGAGGAGGCAGGCCACAGGCCCTGCTACTCTACGTCAGAAGTCATCTTGTTAAACATTGTAAAAGTCAAGAATTCTTTACTCCTTCAACTTCCACGCTCAAAACCAAGCAGGCATGTTGTTCAGTAGAGGTCCCCCAAGATGGTTTCTATGTTAAATTCCGTATGTTCTTGTTAAAAGTCTCCTTGAGATAGGAAACATCAAGGCCGTTGTTGTGATTGACAGCACTCGTATACTGTTTAACTAGTTGGATCAAAGGTTAACTTCTCCCTGTCACAGGTACAGCCTGCATTTCCTGTTGTCAGGTTTTTGTACGTTTAGGAACATTTACAGGTCAGCTTAGAGCTTCTAAGAACACGTGCTTATGACCTCTTTTTCACTTTGATTTCAGGTAGGCCTCAGCTTCTCACTCTTTAGGTAAACTTTTAGCCCCAGCACCATCCTGCCACCAAATTCCATAAACAAATCTGCACTGAACTGCTTCGTGCTTTTTGGAACTGATAAACATCTTAGTTTGCACAAATTCAATCGAACTGGTACAAGATGACAACTTCACCTGCAGGAGGCAGGAATTAAAGAGTATCCGCTGCATCCTCTTACAGTCTTAATGATGCGTCAGGATCTCTCCCTGCATCATTCAGCGTGGAGAACCTGATTTCCCAGAAAATCAGTATTAAACAGGAGAAGAAGTGTATAGTTTGTCAGCCAAACCCCTATACTTCACTAGTCAGATCCCCAAAGGTCCACGAATAGGAGCACCGTGTGAGAGATGCCGTTGTAACAGCCGGCTTGGAATGGAAGCACGAAGAAAACATCATCCTTCCACAGGAGCCTTTGGAGGCAGGTGCGTAGCGTGATTCGACAAAAGAAACTGTGCTGAAAAAAAGTTTAAGACAACGTGTAGAGGGCAATTGCACTCCTTTTTCTGGTAAGAACAGCGATGAAAACCAAACACGAAATGAATTTTTACAAGTTCTGTTGAGAATCTTAAGAAATTGAAACTCAAGGGCCAGGCAATTGTGGATGCAGAGGAAGGCCCATCCAGGGGGTTCCTTCCCCAGGATGACCCTGTCAGCCCCACGTATCATGACTGCCTCTGAAAAGGAGGAGGGTCATCGCTGTAGGGGATTCCCTTCTGAGGGGAACAGAGGGCCCGATATGCCACCCAGACCCGTCACACGTGCCCCCCTGGGGCCTGGGTTATGGACATCACCAGGAGACTCCCTGGTCTGGTTCAGCCCTCGGATTATTACCCACTACTGGTCATGCAGGTGGGCAGTGACGAGGTTGCAAAGAGAAATCCTAAAGACATGGAAAGGGACTTGAGGGCACTGGGGTGAATGGTTGCAGGATCGGGAGCACAGGTAGTGTTCTCCATCCCGTCAGTGGCAGGGAAGGAGACTGGAAGGAACAGGAAAACACACCTGATCAACACATGGCCCAGGGGCTGGTGCCAATGGTGGAATTTAGGTGGTTTGGATCATGGGGAGGTTTATATCTCCACATGTCACACATGTCTCAACGGGGAAAAAGGATTCTTGCCTGTGAATTGGCGGGGCTCATCGGGAGGGCTTTAAACTAGTTGGAAGGGGAAGCGGGACAAAACCACCAAAACAGCCACCAAGACATGCCCAGAGCCTGGAGCAGAATCACAAGTCACCAGGAGAGCACCTGGCAAGCAAATCAAGAGAATTCCAGAGGCTCCAGTGCGCAAGCCAGCTCCATCGGGGGCCAGTCTGAAACGGGTCTCTGGTTTTGGGGGATAAACAAGAGGAGTTAGGGGTGTGTGCATGCATGAGGGGCTGTGACCTCATTGGCATCACGGAGATGTAACGGGATGGCTCCTATGACTGGAGCGTCAGAATGGAAGGATACAGGCTCTTCAGGAAGGACAGGCAGGGGAGATGTGGAGGGCGTGTTGCTCTCTACGCCAGAGACCAGCTGGAGTGCGTGGAACTCCAGTGGGGATGGGTAAGGAGCTGATTGAGAGCTTATGGGTCAGGATTAAAGGGAGGGCAGGGAGAGGGGATAGTGTAGTAGGAGTTTGCTACAGGCCACCACGCCAGGACGAGCAAGTGGATGAAGCCCTCTAGAGGCAGGTAAGGGG